GTGGGGGGGGGGGGGGGGAGAGAGACGAAGACAGACCCCCACCAATAGAGGTTATGAGTCAACTCCGTATCCCGTGCACAAAAAACAGCCCACAAGGCCAGCCGCTGGCGGAAAAATAGCCCGACACAATGAAATGCTCAAGCGAGTCAGCTGAAATACTGTTGGCCAGCTCGACCACCAAGGGAGACAGGACCTGTCTTGTCTCTCCCTCAGCACCCGGCCATTACGGCAGGCCACACGCGCACAAAAAATAATCATGACAAGAGATAGCGGGGGTGGGTTCCCTCAGAGCACCCCGTGTTACAGTCACACACATGAATAACATACGTGCGATGAGAAGAGAGCGGGGGATACTACTGACCCCTACTACAGCGGCGAAGCCGCCCAACAGCTAGCTTCCGTTCCTATCCCCCGGTATCCCCCAAACCCCCAGCGCTACCGCAACACCGACAGTGTTATAGTACCGCCAATAAACGCGAGCACAGAAGGAAGCACGGAATTCGAAGGTGCCCCGACAGCAAGCAGCCCCACCCGTAGGAGCTTTCTCCTTTCATCACCCCACGGGTCGGGCGATAAGCCTCTTCAGGATGTGCCAGAAAGAACGAAACGCTGCTAACGTCGGTCATCCGCGCAACTTCACGAGATCGATCCCCACTTGGCGTACTTGTCCCGCTCGCTGGCAGCGGACCCGCCGCCGCCACCGCCGCCACCTGATGAGCGAGCCCTTCCTACGCTGCCCCCCTGGAAAACAACCCGGCAATTGGTCGCGCAAGCGGGTTTGGGAGGTGAGGACGCTCGTAATAAGTGAGGAGCCGTCTCTTGGGCCGGGAGGAAACTCCTAAAAAACGACATGTCGTGAATGCATCGAAAACACACACGACTCGTCAACACGGTCGCCGACACGAGTGGTTTTCCGCGACAATCCGTGCGTCGTGCGAGTACCGAAACCGATGTCGGAGACGTGACACCCACGCAGAGCAGCAGCCTTGCCGTGGTGCGTGCGTGTGACACGCAAGGGTCGTGGTAGATAGCTAGCCTTGTGGCGGTACATACCAAGAACAACCGGAACAGAATCCGAGAAAGAGAGAAAGAGCGAGAGCGAGAGCGAGAGAGAGAGAGAGAGAGAGAGAGAGAGAGAGAGAGAGAGAGAGAGAGAGAGAGAGAGAGAG